TGTGAATTCGCAGAGCACCACTCGAAGAAAGATGGTCACAGGTATGTAACCCACCATTGTTCATGCCCAGTGTTATTTTTTAAATTTTTAAACTATTGATTGATTGTTTCTGTTATTGCTTTTGTTATTGATGTACTGCCGGCTTGGCCTCATGTAAGCTGCATCGAGTCCCTTGGGGAGATGGTAGCAGGGTATAAATAAAGTTTTTATTTATTTATTTATTTATTATTATTATTATTAATATTATTACTAGCTGTCCCCTGCTACGCGTTGCTGTGGCCCAGTCAGGTGATCTGGAAAATAAAGTAATGAGAAAGTGTTGGTTTCTAATATATGTAATTTCTTTATGCTTGTGAGTAAACACTATTTCTTGCTGTTTCTTTGTCAGTGTTGATGTGGAGATTGTCTGGTTTGCCTACTCTGGAACATGTAAGATATCATTGTCCTTCTTTAAGGGTCCCTTCTATGATACTATAGCTCTGCATGTGTGAATCATATCTATCTATCTATCATCTATCTATCTATCTATCTATCTATCTATCTATCTATCTATCTATATCTATGACTGGATGGCTCTTTGTCAGGGGGTCTTTGATTATGTTTTCTTGCCCTGATGGAGTTGGATTGGATAGCCTTAAGTATATTCTGTTGTTCAAGGGGGTTCTGTGTGGGAAGTTTGCCACAATTCTGTCGTTCGTGGGGTTCAGAATGTTCTTTGATTGTAGGTGAACTGTGAATCCCAGTGACTACAACTCCCAAACTCAAGGTCAATGCCCACCAAACCCTTCCAGTATTTTCTGTTGGCCATGGGAGTTCTGTGTGCCAAATTTGGTTCAATTCCATCATTGATGGAGTTCAGAGTGCTCTTTGATTGTAGGTGAACTATAAATCCCAGCAACTATAACTCCCAAATGACAAAATCATAATTTTTTGAGTGATGGTCACTCCTTGTGTTGGGGGACGTTTTGTTGCCAAATTTGGTGTGCTTTCGTTCATTGGTTCTTTTGTTTTTATGCTACTCATTATGCACAGAGCATTTTTATATAGATTACTAGCTGTTCCCTGCCACGCGTTGCTGTGGCGCAGTCTGGTGATCTGGGAAATAAAGTAATGAGAAAGTGTTGGTTTCTAATATATGTAATTCCTTTATGCTTGTGAGTAAACAGTATTTCTTGTTGTTTCTTTGTCAGTGTTGATGTGGAGAGTGTCTGGTTTGCCTACTCTGGAATATGCAACATATCATAGTCCTTCTTGAAGGGTCTCTTTCAAATCTATGATACTATATCTGTGTGTGTGAGAATCATATCTATCTATATTTATGACTGGATGGCTCTTTGTCAGGAGGGCTCTGATTACATTTTCTTGCCCTGATGAAGGGAGTTGGACTGGATGGCCTTAAGTATTTTCTGTTGGTCATGAGGGTTCTGTGTGGGAAGTTTGCCCCAATTCTGTCGTTTGCGGGTTTCAGAATGCTCTTTAACTGTAGTGAACTATAAATCCCAATAACTCCAAATCCCAAATGTCAAGGTCTATTTCCCCCAAACTCCATCTGTGTTCATATTTGGGCATATGGAATATTTGGTCCGGATCCGTCATTGTTTGAGTCCACAGTGCTCTCTGGATGTAGGTGAACTACAACTCCCAAACTCAAGGTCAATGTCCACCAAACCCTTCCAGTTTTTTCTGTTGGTCATGGGAGCCCTGTGTGCTAAGTTTGGCCCAATTCCATCATTGGTGGAGTTCAGAATGCTCTTTGATTGTAGGTGAACTATAAATCCCAGCAACTACAACTCCCAAATGACAAAATCAATTTTTTTGAGTGGAGGACATACATTGGACTGTTAGGTGACTTGTGTCCAAATTTGGTGTCAATTCCCCCAGTGGTTTTTGAGTTCTGATGGTAGCACCAACTAACATTACATTTTTATTTATATAGATTGTTGTTATTATTATTATTATTATTATTATTATTATTATTATTATTATTATTATTATTCCAGGCTCAGCGATGAGTCCAGCGAAGAGAAGATTTTACTCAAAACGCGTTTTTTGGTTCTTCTCTGGATTATCATACTTTTATGATTTTCAAATGGTTGTGAATGCCATTTTTCACTAACTATACTTTAGAAACACTTTAGAAGAGGAATGCCAGCGCCCCCCAGTTTTGTAATGACTTTTCAACCCATTTTATTTAATGGATTGTTGTTGTTCATTCGTTCAGTCATCTCCGACTCTTCGTGACCTCATGGACCAGCACACGCCAGAGCTCCCTGTCGGCCGTCACCACCCCCAGCTCCTTCAAGGTCAGTCCAGTCACTTCAAGGATGCCATCCATCCATCTTGCCCTTGGTCGGCCCCTCTTCCTTTTGCCTTCCACTTTCCCCAGCATAATTGTCTTCTCTAGGCTTTGCTGTCTCTCATGATGTGGCCAAAGTACTTCAACTTTGTCTCTAGTATCCTTCCCTCCAATGAGCAGTCGGGCTTTATTTCCTGGAGGATGGACTGGTTGGATCTTCTCGCAGTCCAAGGCACTCTCAACTTTCCTCCAACACCACAGCTCAAAAGCATCGATCTTCCTTCGCTCAGCCTTCCCTAAGGTCCAGCTCTCACATCCGTAGGTTACTACAGGGAATACCATGGCTTTGACTAGGCGGATCTTTGTTGCCAGTCTGATGTCTCTACTCTTTACTATTTTATCGAGACTGAACATTGCTCTCCTCCCAAGAAGTAAGCGTCTTCTGATTTCCTGGCCACAGTCTGCATCTGCAGTATCTTTGCACCTAGAAATACAAAGTCTGTCACGGCCTCCACATTTTCTCTCTCTATTTTCCAGTTGTTAGATACCTAACTGACCGCCTCTCGGCCTATGAGCCCACAAGGACTTTGAGATCTTCCGGGGAGGCCCTGCTCTCGATCCCGCCTGCGTCACAGGCACGGCTGGCGGGGACGAGAGATACCACCCAACACCAAACACACAAACAAGAACAAAAAGGGAGCAACACCAAACCAACAAACCCACACCCACAAACAACCCACACCGCAACAGCCACCATCACCCAACCCACAGCGCCACACAAACACCCACATACATCCCCCACCCAAACAACAGGCACCCCCACCCCCCACACACCCCCACAAACCCATCCGACTTCCCCCTCCCAAGAGAACACACCCACCCCACAGTCCGTACCACACCACCACGAGATCTTCCGGGGAGGCCCTGCCCTCACAGGCACGGCTGGCGGGGACGAGAGATAGGGCCTTCTCGGTGGTGGCTCCTCGGCTGTGGAACACCCTTCCCGTGGACATCAGGCTAGCTCCCTCCCTGTTGATATTCCGCAGGAAGTTAAAGACCTGGCTGTTTAAGAAGGCATTTGAACAAGAAATGCAATGACTGGTAATTTGACCTTAGGAATGGAACAACGGAAATGATATCGGATTGTGGGTTTGACGATGAGACGACTTGGAATTGGCTTTTGTAGTAATGTTGATGTTTTGATGAGATGTTTTTCTGATAATGATGAATTGTGGATTATTTTACACTATGTTTTGTATTTTGCACCTGTTTTTCTATGTTGAGTTGCCCTTGGGCTGAGAATTGCGGTATATAAGCGAAGTAAATAAATAAATAATAAATAAATAATTGTCAATCATTCTTGTTGCCATAATCTTGGTTTTTTTTTTATGTTTAGCTGCAACCCAGCTTTTGCGCTTTCTTCTTTCACCTTGATTAGAAGGCTCCTCAGCTCCTCCTCGCTTTCGGCCATCAGAGTGGTGTCATCTGCATATCTGAGGTTGTTAATGTTTCTTCCAGCAATTTTTACCCCAGCTTTGCATTCCTCAAGCCCCGGAACAGAGGCGGCCCTAGGTAATTTTCAACGGTAAGCAAACAGTATTTTGCCCCCCCCCCCAACCAATCATTGATATATATTTTCTGTTCGTCGTGAGAGTTCTGTGTGCCATATTTGGTTCAATTCCATCATTGGTGGAGTTCAGAATGCTCTTTGATTGTAGGTGAACTATACATCCCAGTAACTACACTTGCCGCACTTGCTCCCTTGCCTGGCCCGCTTTGGGTCCGGAGGCGTGCCTGAAGACCCCGGCGTGTGCACCAAAAGTCACCTCTTCTCCTGACTTTCTCCTCAGCCATTGGGACCAAGAGAGAGAGAGAGAGAGAGACAGAGGTGGAGATGCCCACCTTTCCTGAAGGTAGGCGCAAAAACAAAGGAGGGAGCGGAGGTGGGAGATACCTCCAGCCGGAGGGGCTCTCTCTCTCTCTCTCTTGGTCACAATGGCTGAAGAGAAAGTCAGGAGAAGAGGCGACTTTTGGTGCGCACGCTGGGGTCTTCAGACACGCCTCCGGACCCGAAGCAGGCCAGGCATGGCGGCTCCACCCCTTTGCCCACCCGCGGATTGGGGAGAGAGGAGGTGGGTGGAGCGCCGGAGAATCAGGAAAGGGAGCCGGTCATGGGGAAGGGATCGAACGCAGAGCACCACCTGGTGACCGGGTGGAGCAGGAACGAGAGGGGCTAGGCGAGGCTCAAGGGCCCGGCCCCTTTGGGAAGAGGATCGCCCGGCAGCGAGGCAAGAAAGCCGAGGCTCCCCCCGGACTGCTAGGGCTGTTGTGAGCTGAGGGGGCGCTCCTCAAGTGGCTGTCGAGGGGCATTTACAGAGGCGCCTCTGCGCCCCTGGCAAAAAAAGTGTTCTGCGACCGCTTACACCCCAGCTTTGCATTCATCCTGCCCCGCACATCGCATGATGTGTTCTGCATACAAGTTAAAAAGGTTGGGTGAGAGTATGCAGCCTTGCCGTACGCCTTTCCCAATCTTGAACTAGTCTGTTGTTCCGTGGTCAGTTCTTACTGTTGCGACTTGGTCCTTGTATTTAATGGATAGCACTTGCCTATTTCCTCCCATAGGGCCAACGTAGAGGCCAGTCTCCGGCAGGGGGCGCTGTGGCGGCGTGGGAGCCCGTTTTGATTGGCAGCTGGGAGGCGGGTCTGGGCCTGCTTCCGGGCCGGTGAGGAAGGCAAAGGGCAGCTTGGGTTGCCAATCTCAGCCGGACGGGCCTCCCACTCCGCCTCCAATCCCGCGGGAGAGTGGGTGGGGCCCTCCTCCTCCCTGTCGCTGAGTCCGGCCAAGAGAGAGAGAGAGAGAGAGAAGGAGCAAACAAGGGAGGAGGAACGACGCCAGAACCTGGGCAGCAGCAGCAGAGCCATGGTGAGCCCCTTCCCCTTCGCCTTTCCCGGGAAAACTTGTGGGTCTCCTCTTTCAGAAACCCCTCCCTCCACAAACCCCCCCCACAAAAGCATTGCGAAGAGCAGGGCTGCTTTCTCCATCCCCGCCAAGCCTCCCCTGCTACTTGGTAGAACATTTCTAAGGCTGGATCTTCAGCATAGTCCATCGATTGAAGTTTAGTCCATCGATGAGGCCTCCAAAAGCCCCAGCCTGAAGTCTGAGGGCAGCTTGATCCCTCTCTTGACTCAAATCTATGGGAGTTATAGTTGACAAGGGCCTTCACTCTCTCTGCTGCCTCACCAAACTACAAATCCCAGGAACCCATCGCCATTGAGCCCACCACCGTTAAAGTGGGGTCAAACTGCATAAATTCTGCAGTGGAGAAGTATCTCCAGGATTTGACTCCCATCTATTTGTTTACTACTAGCTGTCCCCTGTCACGCGTTGCTGTGGCCCACTCTGGTGGTCATGGGGGTTCTGTGTGGGAGGTTTGGCCCAATTCTATCATTGGTGGAGTTCAGAATGCTCTGTGATTATAGGTGAACTATAAATCCCGGCAACTACAACTCCCAAATGTCAAGATTCTATTTTCCCCAAACCCCACCAGTGTTCACATTTGGGCATGTTGAATATTCATGTAGAGTTTGGTCCAGATCCATCATTGTTTGAGTCCACAGTGATCTCTGGATATAGGTGAACAACAACTCCAAAACCAAAGGACACTGCCCACCAAAGCCTTTCAGTATTTTCTGTTGGTCATGGGAGAACTGTGTGCTAAGTTTGGTTCACTTCCATTGTTGGTGGGGTTTAGAACGCTCATTGTAGGTGAACTATAAATCCCAGCAACTACAACTCCCAAATGTCAAGATTCTATTTCGCCCAAACTCCACCAGTGTTCACATTTGGGCATATTGAGGATTTGTGTAGAGTTTGGTCCAGATGCATCATTGTTTCAGTCCACAGTGCTCTCTGGATGTAGGTGAACTACAACTCCAAAACCAAAGGACACTGCCCACCAAACCCTTCCAGTATTTTCTGTTGGTCATGGGAGAACTGTGTGCCAAGTTTGGTTCAATTCCATTGTTGGTGGGGTTCAGAATGCTCTTTGATTGTAGGTGAACTATAAATCCCAGCAACTTCAACTCCTAAATGACAAAATCAATTTTTTTTAGTGAAGGACATACGTTGGGTTGTTAGGTGTCTTGTGTCCAAATTTGGTGTCAATTTGTCCAGCAGTTTTTGAGTTCTGTTAATCCCACAAACAAAGATTACATTTTTATTTATATAGATATTTGTATACCACCTTTCCCAGCCTGGAGGTGACTTAAGGTGGTTCAGTCAGCAACAATTCAATGCCTCAATAATTATAAAACAATCAAAACAATTATAAAATACCAACTGTCCCCTGTCACGCATTGCTGTGGCCCATTCTGTTGATCTGGAAAATAAAGTAATGAGAAAGTGTTGGTTTCCAATATATGTAATTTCTTTATGTTTGTGGATAAACAGTATTTCTTATTGATTCTTTGTCATTGTTGATGTGGAGATTGTCTGGTTTGCCTACTCTGGGACATGCAACCTATAATTGTCCTTCTTTAGGGGTCCCTCTCAAATCTATGATACTATATCTCTGTGTGTGTGAATCATATATATCTAGCTATATCTATGGCTGGATGGCTCTTTGTTGGGAAGGCTTTGTTTACATTTTCTTGCCCTGGTGAAGGGAGTTGGGCTGGATGGCCTTAAGTATTTTCTGTTGGTCATGGGGGTTCTGTGTGGGAAGTTTGCCCCAGTTCTCTCGATGGGATTCAGAATGCTCTTTGATTGTAGGTGAACTATAAATCTCCATAACTACAATCTCCATAACTACAACCCCCAAACTCCATCTGTGTTCATATTTGGGCATATGGAATATCCGTGCCAAGTTTGGTGCAGATCCATCATTGTTTGAGTCCACAGTGCTCTCTAGATGTAGGTGAACTACAACTCCCATACTCAAGGTCAATGCCCACCAAACCCTTCTAGTGTTTTCTGTTGGTAATGGGAGTCCTGTGTACCATGTTTGGTTCAATTTGGAGTTCAGAATGCTCTTTGTTTTTGAGTTATGTCAATCCCACAAACAAACATTACATTTATATTTATATAGATATTTGTATACCACCTATCTCAGCCCAGAGGCAAGGCGGGTCACAGTCGGCAACAATTCAATTCCTCAACAATTATAAAACAATTATAAAATACTATTAAAACATTTAGTGTATAAACCGTACAAAGCCATAAAAACATTATCATGAGCGTCTCCTTACTAAACTGCCCTATGATCCAATTTCTGAATCCAGATTATTATTTGCAATGAATTGCTTCTGGTAAGGTTTAGACCCCCACTCACACTGCCATATAATCCAGTTTTTGAATCCAGATTATATCTGCTATGTTGATACATCTCCAGGGTAGAGGTGGGTTGCTTCTATTAAGGGTTAGACCCCCCAGCTCCACTGCCATATGATCCAGTTTCTGAATCCAGATTATGTCTGCCATGTAGATGCATATCCAGGGTAGAGGTGGGTTACTTCTATTATGGGTTAGACCCCATCTACTCTGCCTTATAATGCAGTTTCAGAATCCAGTTTATATCTTAATTAATAGGAGCATAGTGTCTAGATCTAGGGAAGTAATGCTATCCCTCTATTCTGCTTTGGTTAGACCACACCTGGAATATTGTGTACCATTCTGGGCACCACAATTCAAGAGAGATATTGACAAGCTGGAATGTGTCCAGAGGAGGGCGACTAAAATGATCAAGGGGCTCGAGAAGAAGCCCTATGAGGAGCGGCTTAAGGAGCTGGGCATGTTTAGCCTGAAGAGGAGAAGGCTGAGAGGAGATATTATAGCCATGTATAAATATGTGAGAGGAAGCCACAGGGAGGAGGGAGCAAGCTTGTTTTCTGCTTCCTTGGAGACTAGGACGCGGAACAATGGCTTCAAACTAAAAGAGAGGAGATTCCATCTGAACATGAGGAAGAACTTCCTGACTGTGAGAGCCGTTCAGCAGTGGAACTCTCTGCCCCGGAGTGTGGTAGAAGCTCCTTCTTTGGAAGCTTTTAAACAGGGGCTGGATGGCCATCTGTCAGGGGTGATTTGAATGCAATATTCCTGCTTCTTGGCAGGGGGTTGGACTGGATGGCCCATGAGGTCTCTTCCAACTCTTTGATTCTATGATTCTATGATTCTTCAGTGTAGATGTACCTCCTGGGTAGAGGTGGTGTTATTTCTGTTAAGGGTTTGACCCCCATCTCCACTGCCATATGATCTAGTTTCTGAATCCAGGTTATTATCTGCTGTGAACTGGATTATATGTATAAATACGTGAGGAGAAGTCATAGAGAGCAGGGTTGTTTGTTGTTCTTTTTGTTTGTTTTTGCTTCCCTGGAGATTAGGAAGCAGAGCAATTGCTTCAAACTACAGGAAAGGAGATTCCACCTGAACATGAGGAAGAACTTCCTAACTGGGAGAGCTGTTCAGCAGTGGAACTCTCTGAGCTGGAGTGTGACGGCTCCTTCTTTGGAGGCCTTTAAACAGAGGCCGGATGGCCATCTGTTGGGGGTGTTTTGAAAGTGATTTTCCTTCTTCTTGGCAGGGGTTGGACTTGATGGCCCACAAGGTCTCTTCCAACTCTAGCATTCTATATGGCAATGTAGATCCAACCTTAGAAAGTGGACATACTAGATACTTGCTCCTCCAGTTCTCTTGGGGATTTCCAGTGTTCAGAGGACGTTCAGTCCAACTTGTTGATGCCTGGAGCAAAAGCTGAGCATGTCTCAAGGTCTGATCCTTTGCTCTCTAGCTTGGGAGGTGTGGTGATTTATTTTGTGGTCGGTCTGACAACTGTTGTCTTCCACTCCGAGTTTTACACACACACTCACGGGTTTTTATTTATCTCCTTACGCAAGGCGTAATCTCAGAGATTTGAGCGCTCTCTCTGTCATTGCTATCACGTTTTGCTGTGTCTGGACAATTTCCCCGTCCTTCCTCTTTTGTGTTTTGTTTTCTCTTCCCACCTCCTCTCCTCCTTCCACTCCCTCCCAGCCACCAAATCGGAAACCATCTAGACAGGGGAAGTGGGAAAATCTTCAGTTAGCCTGTTTTGTACTTTAATGCACACACAAAAAAAATGACATTTCAACAGAAAGTTTACAAAGCAGAGGAGGTAAGAGGCTGAGGGTGCATCTACATTAGGGAATTAATGCACTCGGACACTACTTGAACTGCCTTGGCTCAGTGCTATGCACTCATAGAATCATAGAATCATAGAATCAAAGAGTTGGAAGAGACCTCATGGGCCATCCAGTCCAACCCCCTGCCAAGAAGCAGGAATATTGCATTCAAATCACCCCTGACAGATGGCCATCCAGCCTCTGTTTAAAAGCTTCCAAAGAAGGAGCGTCCACCACACTCCGGGGCAGAGAGTTCCACTGCTGAACGGCTCTCACAGTCAGGAAGTTCTTCCTCATGTTCAGATGGAATCTCCTCTCTTGTAGTTTGAAGCCATTGTTCCGCGTCCTAGTCTCCAAGGAATCAGAAAACAAGCTTGCTCCCCTCCTCCCTGTGGCTTCCTCTCACATATTTATACATGGCTATCATATCTCCTCTCAGCCTTCTCTTCTTCAGGCTAAACATGCCCAGTTCTTTAAGCCGCTCCTCATAGGGCTTGTTCTCCAGACCCTTCATTTTATTTGCCCTCCTCTGGACACATTCCAGCTTGTCACTATCTCTCTTGAATTGTGGTGCCCAGAATTGGACACAATATTCCAGATGTGGTCTAACCAAGCAGAATAGAGGGGTAGCATTACTTCCTTAGGCCTTTCCAGTGAAGAAGGAATGAATTATTAACGTCAGCTAAATTGAACTCCTTGGTATAAGGAAGAGTTGCAGCGATACAAACATATGTGGGTGGAAACTTTTGGACTGTGCTGTGCTGAATG